GGCTGGCCGAGGTCCAGCCCAGCGCGGGGCCATCTGCAGCCCGGCCTGGCCCCGTCCGAGGCACGCACGAGTGGGAACGTCCCACGGCCGCACGGTGCGGACACAGTCCGCCCCACATCCTGGGCCTCACGGGTGCCAGACGTGGCTGCCGTCAGGGTTTTAGTGATGGCTGCCAGGAGCCGCTGTTAGGGGAAGGTTCCGTCTCTACTGGCCCGAATAAGATGAGAGTAGCTGTGCGGTGGCTACTTGGGAACTTGAACGTGGCGGGGCTCCTCGGATGACGCGAGCTAGCCACAGCCCACGGCCGGGCAGCCCCAGCCGCCGCTCCGCGAGCCTATTGCAGGCACTGGCCGTGCCCGACGGCAAATACCCCACCTGCTGGCCCCACTCCCGGAAACCTGCCCCGCCCAGAAACAGGTCCCAAGGCAAGAATTCAAAGCCAAAAAATAAATGTAAAAGCCAAAACGCTTCTGTATTGTGTCTTACTAAGCAATGTTTAAACATAAGGTGTGAAGCGTAAATGCGCAAGTGGGCCCCGGCCAGCTCCCTCACCGACTGGCAGGGTGGCCGGTCACTGTTCGGCCGCCCTGGGCCTCCCTCACCCCCACGCGCAGCCCCCAGCTGGTTCCTTTGCTGCGTGCCGGGAGACTGCGCCCTCAGCCACTTACACGTCATGGAATCGCGACAAACGCCTCGCGAAGGACCAGACCTTCGCCCATTTTACAGACAGGCCCTGGCAAGGGGCTGGCAGGGTGGGCGCCGGGGAGCAGCAGGCCAGGGGTTCAAGCCAGTACAAGGTCTCCAACTGCCCCCTTGTGACAGCACGCCGCCACGCCTGGGACTCACCTCGGGGTCCCTGAGGGCAACAGCACTGTGCCCACGGGCGGGGGGCATGTGCCCTGAGAGCCGCCGGACGCCGTCCCAACGCCAGGCAGGGTAGCCACGTGGAAGGATGTGGTCAGGGCAGGACACCAGTGGGCACTACAGAGATGACCGTGATGCCCGTGATGAGACTCCCAGATGCACAGAGGCAGAACTGAACAAGGATTTAGAGACAATTCAAGCGGCCAGTTAACGGCGGATTTCAGGGTGAGTTCTGATGCTGTGATGGCGTCAAATAAGGAAACAAACAAACGTAAACGGCGCGTGTGGCTCACTCTTCGTGGGCACGGAGTTCAGCAAAGGCAAACCGGCAGCCTGGGTTCCTCTCCAGAGCCGACGTGGCAGTGGCCAGCGTCCACCACGGGGATCGGCGGGCGCAGGGGCCCCGCAGGAGCCGGCAGTGAGCCACAGAGCGTTTGCGCCCAGGGAGCCCATTCACCCCAAACTCGGCGCATCTGTGGGACACCTGCTATGGGCCCCAAGGGCTCGGCGTCTCCAAGGTGGGGGCCGGGCGGGAACTGGACGCCAAGCAGATATGAGGTGGCCGCCAAGTGCCTGGGCGGGCTCTCAGAGGCCACACCGCGAGCTCAGCACCCCCAGAGAGGGCTCCCCGCGGGCCGGGCTGCTGCTTTGCCAGTGACAGGAGAAGATGCCGCCCGCGGCCGCAGGGCGCACACCCCTGGCACACGGAGACAGGTGGGGGGCTGTAGGGGGGTCTATAGGGAGGCTCCCGCTGATCTCGGGGGGCCCACGGAGGGAGGGCCCGGGGACGAGTCCAGCAGAGCCTGTGAGCAGACAGCCCTGTGCTCATCTACCTTGAAGATGTTCTGCTCGGCTCCCAAGCACCCTGGGTTAGAAAATGACAATAAACGCCAAGCGCCTCCGCCCAGGCCGCCGCCCCTCCACGCAGGAATGTCCATGGCAACTCACGTCTGCGGAAAGCGGACGGGGGGGGGCGGATCGTGAGGACACAGTCGCCTTGGAGCGCCACGCAGTCCGAATGGGGCTCTGAATGAAAGCTGGTGCCCCTCTGGCGGGGCTGGCTCACAAGGCCAGGCATGCAGAATGAAACCGCTCGTTCAAGTCTGATAAAAGCAAAGGAGGTCACGAGGAGGTGGGAGAGAAGGGACGGCAGAAAAATAATTGCCTCGATGACATTTTGCTTCCAAACGGGGCGGCAGCCCGTGAATGTCGTTTCGTGGCTTTTCTGCCTGAACTACTTAGGAAGACAGAACACGGCACCGCACCAGGGCACTCCTCCAGCCCGCCGGCTCAGCCGTCGCCCACGTGAGCGGGCAGCCAGCGCCCCTGCGCTCACCGCCATCTTTCAGTGTCACAGAAAGGGGCCCAGGTCCAAATTCAGGCGCCCCCGGGATCCTCAGCCCGACACGTCCCGGCATCCGTCCGCGTCTGGACACCGAGTTTCCGAGGCCAGAGCGGGTCCTCCCCGCTGCCCGGCGCTGCTCCCTGAGTGTCCGATGCGAGCTGAGCCCCCGATCACATCCACGAGGTTGCCTTATGGCTCCCTAAAACACGTTACAGTTCTTCCGGCCACGAAACGGGGCGCCTTCACGCACAACCGAGCTCGGCCCAGCTGCGCTGCAGCTCTCGACGAGGGTCGACGTTTAAACCGTGACTGTTGGCCACAGGGGCAGGAGACCCACTTCAAGGGCGCCTAGATGGGGTCCCGGAGGTCCTGCTGCGGGGCCCCCACGCCCGTTTCTGCTCCCCTGCGGCCACCCCAGAGGATGCCACGCGCTTGACTCGGCGCTTGGTGCCGTCCGTGGAACGCCTGGGCAGCGAGCCCGGTTCAGCTTGGAGCACGATGGCGTGTGCTCGGGCCGAGCGCACCCGGCTCGTGTGCCAGCCTGAGGGGTTCCGTCGGGGATCGCCCTCTTCGATTTCCCTCGACTAGCTTGGAGGTTCCCTGTCCTGCCAAAGCCCCTTTCCCTGTCCAGCTCTGTGCCTTGGTTTTCCACACGGTTTTCACACGCGACCTGGGCGAGGCCTCTGGGAAGGGCCCAGCCGAGCCCACAGGCCTGCAGCAGGCACGGCCACCCAGCCATGCCCAGCAGGAAAGCCACTCCCCAGGCGATGGTTGCTGGAAAGGAAAAGAAGAAAGATCCCCAGAGACCTTGGGGCTCAGGCCTCAGGGCACAGCCCAGAGAGGGCCGCGGGGACAGGACAGTCAGGAAAAGGATCTTTCAGAGATCCCGATCCTAAAGACGAACTGGTCATTCTCACAGCAATCGCGTCAGTAGTTCAACTAATATTAAGGCCCCGAGAGAGAAAAACTCAACCCTCCTCATCCCAACACCTGATACACGAGATCTTTAAAAGCTGTAATTTATTAATGAAAACACCGAGTGTTCTGTTACGCACCAATACATAATACTTGCCTCACTCTCTGCCGCTCCCCAGTGGGGGTTTTTATAATTTATAACCACGTCCCTGCTTCTCCAACAGCTTTCCGCAAGGCCTTGCAGTAAAAGAGAAACAACAGACGGGCTGGGGGAATGTTCCGTAGAAAAACAAATTTTTTACCATAAATCTCTCCGAGCTCACTCATTCAAAATAGGTGACCAGGGTGCACATGAGAAAATAAATTGCACTTTTGCTGCCAGGATGGAAAGAACAGGGATCATAAATTGGGTATTAATTATAAATAATGGTCATTGTGCCACGCATTTATCAAAATAATGTCCTGAATAGGAAATCCCACGCCTGTAAGAGGGAACTGTTTTCCTATTCATCTGTTTCTCCGCTGCAAGCGCGTCTCAGAGGCAAAGATTCACGTCAGTCTCTCATTGTAAATAGTCACTAAAGCTCCTCGTGGAGAAAACCCGAAAGCAGCTACCGCGGTAGTCGTCCTTCCGAGAGCCTTTCCCAGCGTGCGGGAGCAGCTGGACGCCAGGCTGAGCCCCGCCCGGCAGCAGCCGCCCGCTCCGCTGAGCTCAGCGGGATGCCAGGGCCCCCCGGCTCCTCCCAGCCAACTTCCTCGCCCCTTCCCGGTCTCGCCCAGGCGGGCACCGCCCTGCCCTTACGATGTCCCTGACTCTCCTGAACTACCCCCAGTGCTCACGGAGCCATGAGCCTCTGGGTGCCCTCGCTCCACCTGCCCCTCCCTCACAAGCTCAAGACCAGAGAACCCTAAAAATGCAATCTGGAGCATGAGGACCTGGGTGCAGCCTTGAGTGAGAAGAGGAGGGGTCAATCCCTGGCCGTCGCCGGAGTTCGAGAACACGTGCCGAACGCCTCAGCAAAAGAAGCCAAGCGGGCAGTTAGATGCTGGAACCCTGAAAACAGTCACTGCTTAGCACATTTCCCCGATGGCACAGGCAGCTGAGTGCGCAGGCCGAGGGCACACGGCTCCCCGGGGGCGTCGGGACCCCGCGCCCTTCCGCAGACTCTGGGGAGCAGCGCGAAGTTGGGCTGAGCCAGCTCTGGGCAGGGCACAGGCACCACAGGGCCATGTCCGCTGACCCCTGAGGCACCTCCAGGACGGAGGCCACTGTGAAGGAAAAGTGCCCGAGTTTCCCGCAGCGTCTAAGACGAGGCGGCGATGACCAGCCAGGAGGGCAGGCGAGTGGTCGCGAGCCCGAGGGGCAGAGCCTGGCAGGAAGCGCGTCTTCCCAGCAGGTGTTTCAACACCCGGGGCTCCAGCACCTCGGTGGAGCGAAACCCATTAGGGCCCACCCCACCCCACATGTCGTCTCTTCCACCCCAGGCCAATGGAGTCAGGCCCCAAACAACGTGGGCGGCCCCGAGGCCGCCGCCATACTCCACGCTCGTCAGCCCCAACCTGCTGTCCTGCCTTGCCGGCCCTTCCACAGACACCACAGCAGGGCAGTGAGGGCCGTGGCCTCCTGCAGCCGGGCAGCAGTGAGACCCGCACTGGAGAAGCCTCCCAGGACACGCGGTGGTCGGGAGGGTCAGAGTCAGATCATCCACACGGAGGAGCAAAGTTTCAGCTAGAGAAATGTATTAGAAGTGTGGGTGGAAAAAAGCAAGAGGAAAGTTCCAGAAAGAGGAATAGAGTTGAAACAAAAACTAGGTGGGTGGGCTCTGCTAGATCCAGCAGAAACAATTCACCATCTGAAGAATCTCCCCAGTGAGCCCAGAACACAGGCAGGTGGAAGACATAAGTGCTTCGACTCATCGCAAAGGGAGCTTGGCACTCCCAGGCGGCACGACCCCAGCGGCGTGCTGTGCTGCCGGGCGCTCGTCTGCTCACGGCACCGCGCCAGCCCAAGCACCCCAGAAATGCCCACGTTCCCGTTATGAGACACCTTCGCGCTTGCTCGTCCAGCCGTCTAGACTCTAAGGAACGTGGGTGTATCCTTTCTGAGTTGATAAAGTTGCCAGCTGAACAATCCCAGATATTCTTAACCCAGTTTTTTAATTTTCTTCTTTTTTATTTAGGATCCCTGCAGTGATGCAGGTGAGTTTGCCACATTTAGGGGCATCTCAGGGGTCAGCCCATCCATCCGGAGTGCGATGGGGAGCCACACCCTGGGGAACTACCCCTCCTGGCAGGTAAGAGCTCCCACAGAGGATCACAATCAGCTAATCATTAAATGATAACCTTAAATATTTTCTAAACAGCCTCGTCTCCCTTTAATTACATTACACCATCTGAAGCTTCACAGTTAACATGCTGTCTTTCAGTGCTGACTTTCTGCAAATCCAACAAAAGCCCTTGATCAAAAGTAAAAAAAATAAAAATCCTAGCTTGATTTGAAGTGGAAAAGCAATAAAAAGAAAAGCTATTCATGTTTAAAAATGCTCAACAGCACTTATAACCAGGCAGATGCAAATCAAAACCACAATGAGCTACCACCTCATGCCAGCAAGAAAGGCCCCATTAAAAAAACTAACGAAAACTAGCATGGAGGATGTGAAGAAAAAGGCCCCTCTTGCACTGCTGGTGGGAACGCAGGCTGGCTGACCACTATGGAAAGCCGCTGGTGGACCTCAAATTACTAAACATGGAGCCACCCTACGACCCAGCAATCCCACTCCTAGGGATCTACGCAAAGGGCACAGTGCAAAAGGATACTTGCATTTCTATGTTCATCGAAGTTATAATATAGAAACCACCTAATGACCCCAAACAGATGACTGGGCCAAACAGACATGGTGCCTATACACGGTGGAATATTACTCGGCCATCAAAAAGACAAACGGGCCATTCACAGCAACATGGATGGAGCTGGAAGGGATCGTGCTCAGTGAAATTAAGTCAGAGGGTAAAAATATATCAGATGGGCTCACTTACAGGAGCAATATAGGGAAAACATACAAGGGATCAGAAAAAGATAAAAGACGCATCTAGCAGGCAAACTGCCCTTCATCAGGGAGGGGAGGGAAGGGCTCAGACAGAAAGGACGAGCACAAGAGTCCATGGTGATGGGGACAACACGTGGGAGGAGAAATCGGACACTGTACAAGAATGAACCACCGGCCAACACAGTAATAATCGTGCGTGCGCACAGAGCACGGTCTGGCTGTTCTTTCCCACTGTCGGGAGCAACGGAACCCCCCGCATGCAGGGAGCTTTGGTGCCATCCAAAGGGTGTCTGGAAATCGCTCTCTGCGCAAAGCTTAGAAAGCCTTTGATTTTTTTTTTTCTTCCAAATAGATTCAATTGTTACCTTGGCTGTCGCCTTGCTGGTCCCTAAAATGCATCAGAACTAAGTTTAAGCTGCAGGTTGCTGCATTTTGTATTATGTGTAAAGCAGCTTTATTCCCGTAGATGGGAATAAAGGGAAAAGCACCTTGTAGCCAAACTGCTACATGCGGAATTCTTCATAGATCACCGTTTTTCTCCTGGTTCTATCTTTAAAATCCTCCTTTGGTCGAGATAATTGATCAGCGTCCATCTGAACAGAAAGCAGGCAGCCCAAGAACCCTTGCATCTTCCTGAAGCGTGAGCTAGCCCCCGCCCCCAGAGTCCACTCTACAGAATGTGTGTTCCTTCTTTCTTGGAAAGAACTTGACTTTGTTGGGGAGCTAAATAATCCCTCGAGATGAAGCATCTGAGTTTCTATTAAAACACAACATAAAAAACAGTAAGTCACCTACATTGACTACAGAGTCTTTCACAGAAATTCTTTGGCAAGCCAAGCAAGAGACATAAAAAGTACCAAGGAGATTTCTGCTGGTGTTATAACTTTAGGCAACTGTTCTTTTTGAGCTTTCAGCCTTAGTTAAATGATTGCTCTTCCTGCTGCCCACCCCTCAGCAAATCACATGAAATGAAATCGATCCCAATCCCTGGCTTCTGGAGCACAAGGTATCAGCACAAACGGCTGGTAGCCCTGGGGCCGGGCTGTGGGAGCTGCGCAGCCCTGCACTGATCCAGAGCGCTTGTTCACAAAGCCGGGCGGTTCCAGGTAAA